CATCGGAAGCACGGGTGGGCTTGCCGTTGTGAAGACAAGATGGGAAGTGGCGTTCAATACTGCAGTCGCCAGGCTAATGTTAGCTGGTACTTGCAGGAAAAACAACAATAATACCAACAAAATATTTGGATATGCCAGGCAAATAAAACTCACAACAAACCTTCACAAGTCGAAGGTAACAGATCAAACGATGTCGAATTCACCAATCTACCTGATGACAGCGTGCGCATTACCTTCAGTGCGACTGCCCTGCTGAGTGAGCTCCTTTGATTAACGGCTACGCTCGAAAGCGGTTGAGCATGCGCACGGTGCGATTGGCTGAGCCAACTTTCCACCTTTTCGACAAGCATCGTTCATATAACTTCCGGAAAAAGGTCAAATGATGACGTCAAATATTAATATGCTGGGAGAAAATTAAGCAAAGTACATCGGAAGCAGGAGTGGTGAGGTTAAGTGCAATCGTTTTATCACTCCTGTGGATGCATTCAATATAAACACCACTAGAGGGCAGTAAAAGCCCCCGTCCACGATTCTGCGAATTCTGCAGTTGCACAGGAAACAGTATAGGTAATAGCCTTCGCATTAAATTCATTTATTCTGTTTTTTATACACGAATTGCAAAGCGTCATCGTATCTAATGTGCATTTATTGTGTGCGAACTATGGTGATTTTACTGTTAAGATTTTCTTCATAAATGTATGAAAAAAAGGATTTGTATTTTGTGATGAGGGTATTGATATTGTATTTCTTTTTTATGCATTTCTAACTTGTTAATATTTAAATTAGGTGAAATATCCAGCAGATTAAAGAAGATAGTTCCTGGAGTTTCCATGTGCTCCCCGTGCCTGCATGGCTTTTCTCCCACATTCCGAAAACATGCATGGCAGGTTGATTGGGCGCTCCAAATTGTCCCTAGGTGTGATTGTGAGCGCGAGTGGTTGTTCGTCTATATGTGCCTGTGCCTGCGATTGGATGGCAACCAGCTCAGTGTATCCCCTGCCTACTGCCCAAAGACACCAGGGATAGGCTCTTGTGAGGACAAGCCGATTAGAAAATGGATGCCTAAAAGGACAACCATAGCTTATCTGTACCACTTCATTGATTCACTTGGCAGAAGCCTTTTTATTGCTTATTCATGTTTCATTGACAGCGCAAACAACTTTGTTGATCATGCTGCAAGGTAGTGAATGCAAGATGACAAACCAGGAAGCTACTGTACTCTCACGAGGGCTTAGTTTTATTACAACAGAACATATATATACAGGAGACGGACAAATCCAAGAATGAATGAGGTTGCTTGCGTATTTAGAAACATTTTCCTGTGGACCATATATGTACAAACACAGACACACACACAGACACACCCACACATATATATTGGTTATTAAATAACCTCTATAATTACAAATATACCTCTAGAACCCCAAAATAACCTCTATAATTACAAATATACAAGAATTGATTTCATTACATTCAAGAATGTACAATCAGAAAGAAGAAAATCATGATCTTCTCTGTGACATCATTGTGACCGGTAAATTCTCGTCTCTCATTCGATGTTTTAAAAGTTATCTTGGTGTCTGTTGCTGTATCTGGCAGTTGAGAGACGACAGTCCAGGAAGTGCACAAAGGGAGTCCCTTTGGGTGATGGGACCAGGTCTGCTTTTCCAGCTTATAGGTGTCACAATGCCATTGCTTCGCTTTAATTGCCGCCATGGACTTTTTGATCTTATCTGAAACAAAGTAACACAAAACAAGAATGGACATTCAGTGCGAGGTCTGTTTGGAATTGATTTGAGTGATACCTGAATTTATTTACTTTGTATGTGTGGCTGAAAATGTTCACAATTATTTGCACATAATTATTTGTTCTTTTGCGGGTATGAGAAACATTTTCTTGAATTAAAAAAAAAAAAAAAGAAATGATTGAAACTAATGACGTGGCCACTAAATATACAGTACATGTCAATCCCTCACCTATGAAACTGGCCACTGCTGGCTCACAGTCCATCGTGGCGGAACGCTTCTCTTCAAGCATTTGTGGCAGCTTTCCTGTAACATGCAGCAAAAGCAAAGAAATTAGATCTCAACACGACTGAGGCTGTGAAGACTAGCAGCTGAGTGATGTGCATTGTTACCAATGTTATGGGCATTCTCGATGAAGGAGTGAAGGACATCCCTCTCCAGTTGGAGGCGTTTCTCTGTTTTGCTGTTCATCTTTTTTGTAACTCCGCGCCAGACTGGAGGAGGGGGGGAGCCAAGATTTAACGACAAGTTACTGCGGTCCATCTTATTCTTTGCACTCCTAGAATCAAACCCAGATCGCGAAGATAAGCACACTGAAAGAAAAAGTCCTAACTGAATCAGAATCATAAAAATGTGAGCACATCTTGGACACTTTTTGCAGGAACTCAGCGAAGTGACGCATGACACTCTGGTTTTTGCCGGGAAGGACGCAAGAGAGCAGCATGGTGGCGCAGGTGCGGCCCTTCTTGGTGGGGAGATGCTGTGCCTTGAGGAAGGCCTCCTGCATCTCGGTGGGTAGCGCAGGTTCTGGCAACTACCTGAAGAATTGCTTCACCAGGCACGAGGAAGACAGGCGGACAGGCACTCCTCATCAGAATCTTATTTTTTCTGGACATACACAACAAAACTGAATGTCTGAAAGACCTTTCATGGGGTCAGCAATGTTCAGTGAGAGCACAGTCAACCAATCACGCACCTGCAGTGTTTTCAGGTGGGCAAAAGAGCCAGTTATTCTGAACAGGCCCTTTGTGTCGACATGCTCCAGCAGCCTTATGCATGCCTCCACCAGAAAACTAGAAGAGTCGGGATATGTTTCACACTTGCAATTTGACCAATATTCAATGCATGCAAATGAGTGTATTCACTTACCAAGGGACACTCCCCAAGCGCCATATGGATAAAGTTGAGTTGAGTGAATTGGAGTTTGCACTTACTTGAGAAAATATAAGCCAAAAAAATCCACCAGCGGGACATCTTGGCAGCTCTGCTGTGAAGTCAACAGAAAAAAAAGTATATATATATATATATATATATATATCGCTATTTCACAGATTTTTTTAGTGCAGTTTTTTTCATGCTTTTTTTAAACAGTGAATTGTGTTCTGCATCCTGATTGGCTAAGGGACTGACCAACGTGAACAGTCTCCGCACCTCGTCTCTGTACAGCTTGCCAAATTTACCTTTGCTAATTTTTGGTCTTTGGTTTCATTTTATCAGTGGCGGATGCTGGTCTGTCAAGGAGGGGAAGCTCAATTTCGGCCGACATCATAAAATGTGTCCGTTTATTTATACGTGAATTCTACTCTCCGTTCCTTTTCAAAAAAAATTAAAAGGCTGCCTTCACCATAAGATCGGTGATTGGCTCATTTCGCTGTCAATCAAAAAGAGATTCAGCCTCAGAGAGATCATCCAATCATCATGCAGAAAACTGAGCTTCCAGGTCAGCCTATAAACGCCCACTGTCCATAGACTCCCAGAGACGCTGAGTGTCCAATGGGCGGGACAAAACCAGCATTTTTCCAATGACTCGTCTCGTTTCAATGCATTGGGACAACCTACACTGAACTCTCGAGACGCCCAGCCTTCGCGCTGTAGACGCTCAGCGTCCACACAGTTTAAAGCACAGTGAAGCTGCGGGAATAAATGAGAAGAAAGTCGCGTCATAACCAGTAATAAGAAGCTGATTTGGAACAAAAGTTGAGCGCGTTGTAGCGCATATTTAGTCAATGACATGTACACACATATATTTGATCATTTACTTTTTGACATTTTAGGGGAAGCTGAGCTTCCCTTGCAGTCTTAGAG